CAAAAAAAACAAAAAACCACTGATAAAGAGAATTCAGAAATACCTAGAATCAATATTTGATACCCTTAAGATTTCACAGAGCAAACGACTTCTTTTGATGTGCATTTTACTCTAAAGATCATTGCCCTTACCTACAATGTTGTTTTTTTTTTAATACAAATACGTTGTGTATTGAACTTTCATTGCAGATGCACAGATAGTAGAGATGCAAGGGAAGAACAGTTTGTTGGTGGTTAGCATTTTTAAAATTCACTGTCACCATGCTCTTGAGATGGTTACTTGGTCTCCACAGATTACCCTGCATACCACTCAGTTAGCAAATGATCATCATGAGAGTGGCTGAATTTATTGTGTACCCATTATGTATGTCTGGCACCGTATTATATTTTTACACCAAATATCTAATCTTTACAGCAAACTTAGCAACATAGATATTTAGTGGGTAGTACCAGAATTTTTTTAAAAACTGAAATAAAATACAACAGAGTAGAAAATATCAGAGCACATCACATCTATTGAGGATTAGGTATGCTTTTCATGAAATTTACTTTCAATTGTACATTTATGTATGTACGTACTAGTTTGGAATACACTTGAATTTCAAAATACAGTGAGTCCATAGAACTGAGCTGTGTCAACCTATTGATAATGACAACCTTTGGGTATTTCCATAATCAGTAATACAGGCTCGAGCATAGCAGAAGACTATCTTAGGCTGAATTTTGCCTTCACTTTGGTCAAGCAGTACCATACACTGGTTACCAATCCCAGGGGAGGACTAAACACTTCTCCCCATTGCGTCTTGGTGTCAGAGTCTTCAAAGAAAACACAAGCAGTAGATGGAACAGTGCTTTACTTACATAGAAAGGAAACAGAGCAAGATTACCTTTAATAGTGGGTGTTGGTCCACCATTGCCAGTGAGTTTCTCCCAGTGGCCATGCAGGACAGTTTACCTATGCACACTCCTCTTGTGCTGTCCCCTCTCTGCAGAGGACTGATATAACAGTGAGGACTCATGTAACACATGACGCACACACTTTAAGCTGAGACCTAAGAGCATTCATTGAGCCTGAAAGAGGGAAAGATACTCCCAGGGCAAGATGATAAGCCCTGCACAGGCCGTATGGGCTCTTTATCTCTTGGTAAGGAAGTTTTCATCCTTAGGCGGTTAAGTGGGGGTTGAAAGATTACACACATGAGACTGCAGTTCCCCACAAGGTTTGTGGTCTTAAATAGTGTCACTTTAATCTCATTATCAATAATTTCAGTAAAGGGGAATTAATTATTTGTTAGCTGGAGCTCTGTGATACTAAGTACTGTTTAATGTATTTTCCATTAAGAGCTAAATCTAATTGTTTAGAATATGTATTCTTCAATTTGCTATTTTGTACCTTTTTTATTAAGTGATGTAGTTTTACAAGATTATTTTTAGACCTCGTATATGTATATAGTTTTAGTTCTGGGGAGAATCTGGCTCTTAAAATCCAGTGTGTTGGGGACTGGGGAAGCAGTAATCCACAGGGAGAACACATTACAAGTCTCTTCTGTTTCTAAATGAAAGCGATTTCTTCACATTCAGAAGCAGTTCTGCTTCTAATTCTTCAAAATTACAAAAAGAAACAGTTTTTAAAAATCTGGTTTCAGAGGGAATTCTCACAAGTTTAAGGACAATCTTAATCTTTGCTTGTTTTTCTCCCAACAATGAGATATTTTCCTTAGTAATCATTCAAAAAAAAAATCACATTAGAAAGCACTGTAGGGCGCCTGGGTGGCTCAGTTGGTTAAGCGACTGCCTTCGGCTCAGGTCATGATCCCCTCCCCCATCCTGGGATCAAGCCCCATATCGGGCTCTGTGCTCAGCAGGAAGCCTGCTTCTTCCTCTGCCTGCCTGTCTGCCTACTTGTGATCTCTCTCTGTCAAATAAATAAAATCTTTTAAAAAATAAATATATAAATAAAGGATAAGTAAGCATTCCACCAAGAAAAAGAGTAGATTAGTTATCTGTGAGTTGCACAGTTCTGGTAAACATATAAAAATTTCCTTAAATTCCCAATTCTTACCTTTTCCTGTCTTTTTTCAAAAGAGGATTTAACTTCATCAGAATCTTTCTGTACATTTAAGATATTTGTATCCTCACTTTCCTCATCATCTGGCAAAGCAAAGGTCACTCTTTTCGAGGTTTCTTTATGTTGTTTACTGTCTTCACTCTCTTCAAGGTCATTATCTTCATCACTATAGTACCAAAACACTTATGAAAGGATAATACACTATTTTTCATTAGGAAAACAAAACCAATTCTCTAGAAAAGATATTCTGTATATCTTATGCAAATAGTCAGAATTCCAGTCATTCAATTAAGGAACAGAAGGTATTATTTAGGTGAAACGGAACAAAAAGTGTGCAATATATAAAAAATAAATTATTCCTCAATCTATAATACAAATGTTATCTCACAATAATAACAGTATTTTTATTGGCACAAAAAGCAAACAAAAGCTCCTTGTAATAAAGGTTTGATTGCCGCTGCCAGCGATATTTATCTTCATCAGATTATCTCTAAAGCCCCTTTAAACTCGGAGACTTTCTTCTGGCTACCTTGTGACTATCTGATCTTAGAGAATATAACTTCTTAGGACCAACATATTTGACAACTATGAGTACACACATATAATTGGATGGTTCTAGCTTACAGGATTCAAAATACTCACGTTTCAGAAATGCTCCCTTCTCCTTCTTCGTCAGCAATTTCTTCCTCATCTTCATTTGAACCCAGTTCATCATCATGAACACTTGCTAGTTCTTCATCACTTTCAACTGGATCAAAGAAGTCTTTGTATTTCAAGTTTCTGGAACTTTTACCTGACTAAAGTAAAAAGACTTTTCAAACTTTCAATTAAGAACAGAAGAACACATTAAATCATGCATATATGTGTATGCCTATTACATACAGGGAACTGGTAACTGACAACACTACCACAAAACTGTAAGAACTACTAGACTTGAACAAACTGGAAGGAAGCATAGATTCATTTATAACTGGTAAGACAGAGCACAATATTCCTAACTCTAAAGCTTCTAACTACAATTATTTCCAAAATATCCCTGCCTAAAGTATACAAATGCCTTCCTCTCCCTATTATTTTTAGCGTTTGGTGAGAATATGTTTGAGGGAAATTCTGAATACCTCTAACGTGTGATTATGGTTCTTACGCTACAAAACAATGTGGTAAGGAAATGATAGCTTCGGTTTAATTTTTCTAGTCCATTGTTTTCAACTGATCTCAATATTTCATTTACACCCTGGTAAGTTTTGAGGTATTTTAAACCTCTTCTCAAGAAATAAAACAAAATCTAATTTAAGGAGGTAGAAAGTCCTCTCTCTCTTCTCCCAAAACTTTACCTTAGGTTTTTGACTTCTAAGCAGTTCTCCCTCATCTTCATCAGAATCAACGTCTTCAAAAAAATCAATGTCTTCCTCTTCCTCATCATCTTTTTGTTCTTCTTCCTTTTCCATGTTTTCTAAAAAGGTCTCCATTTCAGACAGTTTGAAAAATTTATCATCTACTATGGACTTCTCTCTTGGTTTCCTAGGCACTTTGTCTTGCACCTTGCTCTGTTGCTCCAATTTGCTGATATCAAAATCAAGATCAGAATCCTCATCACTGAAAACTGGACTTTTCCTCAGATCAACTTTGCTCAAGTTTTTAGCTCTCTCATCCACTTTAGAATCATCACCACTCAGGTCAGCCACTTCCTCCTCCTCCAGATCTTGTATGAGGGCCTCCTGGCCATCAGACTCCACCTCTGAGCCATCCTCTTCACACTCCTGCTCTTCATTCTCTGGAAGAAGACTGATGTCTTTGTCTTTAATGGTTTTACTAACTGCATTCTGGAAGTACTGTAAAATTGGTTCATTTTGCAATTCTAGTTGTTGCCAAATCTGCTCATCATCAAAATTGTCTATCACCAGTTTTTTTAACGGACTTCCGTGGATCCTGTCATTCTCTAATATTTTATTAAAATCATAAAGTACTTTTGTTAATGAAGTGAAGTTTGATGCCAATTCATCTTGAATCCTATTAAGGGAGCACAAGGAGGAAGTTTAAAGAGATTTATAATTATAGGCAATAATTTCACAGCACTGTGAATTAAAAGGAAAAAGAAGCCCAACTCTTGTGCAAAATCAAACTTGAATGAAATATCAATTTTAAGTATAGATTCTGGCTCCTAACAGTGTATTATCTTGCTGAGGCACCACACTAATATATAACTAAGTCTGTGATCTGCTATATGGATTTTAGGCAGGCAAACTATTACACACCTCTTTGCTTAAAGATATATAGTGAATCTTAGCCTTAAATGCTCAACTCTGCTATATTATATGCCACTCCATTCAGTCAGCCAATGGTTAACACTTGCTTTGGCACGAGTGCTCAGAGAATACCTCTGAAGATGTAACATCTGAAATGAGACCTGTATATAAGGAGACAGTCTTACAAAGACCTGGAAACATATATTTCAAGCAGAAAAAACAGTGAGAACAAATTTCCTAAGATAGAAATGAACTTGGTGAGTTTGAGAAACAGAAATGCCAGCATAGCTGGAGTGTGTGAAGGAGGCAGAAGGCCAGGGAGGTAGATGGGAGCTGTATCATGCAGGGCTCAGAGGTAAGAGTTTGCTGTTTTAAATGTAAAGAGAAGCCATCAGGTGATTTTAAGCAAAGGAGGAAAATGATGTAATTTACACTTTGGAAAGATGGCCAACTGAAGGAAAGGAACGAAAGTACAGTAATTAGGTTGACACAGCCATCCAGGCAAAGGATGATAAACAACTGTGCAGGGGTTAGAGCAGCAGATACTGCGACAAGCAGTCAAATTTACAATATAGTTTGAAGATAGAACCAACAAAATTTGCTGATGAATTAGAGGTAGAAATGAGAAAAAGGAAGATATCAAGGAAGCAGCTTAGTTATATGTCTGAACGACTGAAAAACCAGAGGTGCCAGTTACTCAGGTAGGGAAGGCAGGTGCATGTGGAAAAGATTTCAGGGAGGGCAGAGTATAAGAGAGTAAAACAGAAACAACAGGTCATTTCGGACATAAGAAATTTGAGATGCTGAGAGCGTACATGGCTGTAGCTGCTGTGCGCCTGAAGCTCAAGGGAAAGGTCGGGTATGAAACACAAATCTGAGAGCCACACTTTCATAGATCATACTTAAAGTCCTTCAACAAAATACGAAGAGCTTGTGTTGGGAAGAGAGATGAAAGTCCTAATTCTCAAGAAGCTCATCGTGGGGGGGGGGGGTAGACAGACAACAAATTTAATACTTTCAATAAAGTATGATGAGTAAGTAAGCACTGGGTGGTTTGGGAGCGTGTTGGAGAAAAGAGCAACCAACCTAGTGCACGCGCACCTGAAGAGTAGGGGGGTGCGTAAGACTCAATGGAAGGCTCTGGGCGTTCCTAATTGAGCTTAGTTTGGTTACTACACGACTGGGAGATCTGCACTGTACAGCATTTAACAATTTAAAAATTTGTGATAGGCTAGGGGAGCGTAACTATCTGAAATCTGGGGGAAACAGATATACGCTTCCCTTCACCTTCCCCCTACTCCAAAATTTGCTGGGGGCCAGCAGTCCGCGCCAACGTGAGACCCGGGCCGCACCCCGAGCCCGGGTTCCGTTCACTTACGTGAGAAAGCACTCTGGCTGGCCGGTGGCTTTATCAACCTCCTTCAGACACCGCTCCAAGGTCCGTCGACGCCAGACGCGCGGGGCCATTGCTGTCTACAACTCGGGACACAGCGCCGCATGCACAGGAAAAGGGCCGCCCGGAAACCGCGCCACAAAGACGCGCCTCGCGCAACCTGGACCCTGGAGACAAAGGTTCCGCGGCGTACAGGTTCCGGACCCACCCCCTGCCAGGGCCAATGGCAGCGCAAGAACTTTCACTGGGCCATTGGTCAGTTCTAGCGCCTTTCTCTAAACTTTCTGTTTTGTATTCCTGAGGGGCCCACAGGGGTGACGCGTCCTTCGTTTAAGTTTCTGCTTTAGATGCACTGGGTGGCTTCAATACGTAAAATAAGAACAAGCCCACCCGCGGCAGCATACGAACAGAGCAACGCTCGCCACGCCCCCTAACCTCGTAGGCCCCGCCCCCAGCCGCGTTGACCTGCCCCTCGACTGAGCTCCTTTCCCGGGAGAAGCACCTCGGGCTTCAGTGGGTCACTTCCCAAGATGGCGCGCGTGTTGAAGGCGGCGGCGGCGGCAGTGGCGGTGGCGGTGGCGGCCGAGAGCGCAGTAGGTGAATACCCCGCGCGGTCGGGGCTCTTCGGGGGGCGGGGCGCGCGGGACGCGAGACCTGGAGCTGGAGGAGGCGGCCGGTGGCCAGAGCACCTACGTCCACTGCGCTCTGTCCCCCGGTCAGCACCTTAGGCAGAAGGGATCTCCCAGGAACGCCTCAGGTTAGCGTGAGGGTTCTAGTATTCGATTCTCACAGCCACCTTAGGAGGTGTGTGCAGTTGACCTTGCCCCTCTATATAGGTGGCCTCAGAGAGGCGAGGGACCTGCCCAAGGGGACAGACAGCAAGGCTGGGACAGAAGTAGATGAAGTAAATGGCAGAGAGACAGTGAGTGTTCATTTCCAGTACACCATAGGAGATGCGAGAAACCAGAAAAAAGGGCAAGTCCTTTAAAAAACGTAAGCTGAACTCCCAAGTACTTCCAGTATCCCTCTGGAAACACTCGGAGGTCAGTTGTGTGAAGAATACCAAGGGAGTGTTTTTTCCCTCCTGCCTTAATATGTTTATTATTGCGTATATAAACAGGAAAGACAAAGGCAGACGGATTTGGAAGGTTCCTTGAGTCCTCTACACCTCCATTAAAAAAAAAAAAAAAAGCTGGATAGACTCAGTAATGACAGAAACTCAAGTTTTCTGACTCTCAAGCCACCCACTTTCTCCTCTTTCTTTATCTTCTTCTTCATCAGAGGGCCACTATTTCAATTAATCTGAAATTCCCTGTTAGGAAGAGTGCCAGGTGGTAATGTCTCAAGAGTTACTCCAGAACATTTGCCATAAAGCCTTCAGCTTGGAACCTTCAGAAAGTGTTCAGGGATGAACCTTTAATAATGTTAGATCGGCTTGCTAGATAATGCTCTCTCTATTCCACCCATTCAAATTTACAGTTCTAGCCATCCTTTGAAGTCCCGTCTCCAACTAACCAGTTCTTTATTGATCACTATAGTCTTCCTTACCAGTCACAACATTTCTTATACATTTATCATTGCAAGTCACCAGGGCTAAGTGATGAGCCACATACAAAGAAGTGCACCATAGTAGTTTTAGTTGTCTCCACACTTTATCAGTTTGAAGAGGTGATATGTATACATGAAAAAATATTAAAATAGGCTGAGCACAGCTTGTTGAAATGAATCTAATAGGTGATTCTCGAGTTTTTATAGTAACACACCCTTCTGGTCCCTCCTTCCTCTCCCTGGTAAGATACAAGCAGCATCTTAGCTCACACACAGTTGCAAGTAACCCTTTGCAAAAAAACAAAGATAAGAAAAATAAGACAAAGAGTCATCTCTTATTATCTCTTAGAAAGCCATCTGTTAGAATGTAGATATTGTTCATAAAACATACACTGAAGATATTAAAAGTTGAAAATCAAAAGAATGGTAAAAATTTCAGAGGAAAGAGAAGATTCAACATCATGGTTTAGTAACATCAACTTTGATGTCAGACAGACCTGGGCTTGAGGCCCAGCTTAGTGTGACCTTGAAGAAATTACTTAATCAGGCCAATTTTCCTTGCCTGCAAATGGGAAAAATAATATTGTCTGATGCACAGAGTTATGGTGAAGATTGAAGTGCTCACTGAACTATTACTGGTATGTCTATTTTATGGCCATGAGAACTAATAAGCAGAGCTACGCTAGCACATGATGTACTCCCACTTCAGAATTCATGATTTCACAGTTTGCTTAGGCAAGATTACAGACTTAGGCAAGCTTACAGGGCAGTATTGTTGCATAACTCTAACAATGAAATAAAGCCATGGGTCTCTACTGGTAATGAGGTCAAATCAACAAGATGGTACATGATGGTATGCCATAGGATTCAGTTCTCTACTGTTGGTAAATCCCAGCAGTATGGAGAATGCCTAGAGACTAGGGAGTATCTGCATTGGGGATAATAACTAGCTTATACAGTTCTTGAAAGGCAGAATTGTTACATAGTTTCCACTTCTATATGATATTAAAAGGAGTTCTCAAAGCAATAGTCATGAGCAGTGTGGGTGAGTCAGAGGGTTACTATAAACAACTAATTTTAACTTGAAAAAATTGTAAATCACTATTCTTTATCAAAAAGCAAAAGGAGAACTATGCCTATAATACCTTCCAGCAGCATTATTCCACCAGGGTGTTAGTAGTCACTAAATACTGAAATACTACCAAAGATCTTCTAAAATCACAGCCCACACTGTAAGTTTTCCAGAGTAAAAGGAGACTAGTCTCCTTGTCATAAAAAGTAGTAAGTTGTGGATTGATGAAATGATGCAGGGAATACAGAAATACTATGTGTGTCAAAACATAAATACAAGTAATACAAGTAATCTTTAGTATTTGAGAAAGATTTTTTTTTATAATTTTTTTTTTTTTTTAAAGATTTCATTTATTTATTTGACAGAGAGAGAGACAG